ACAGCCTCAACCTCCTGGGCTCCAGTGATCCTCCCATCTTAGTTAGCCTCCTGAGTATCTTGGACCACAGGCACACACCACCATGCCCAGCTCATTTAGAGCCACTCTCCTGATACTTGTTAGCAAGCCAGCCTCTGGCTCCTCCTAGGCTTGGTGATATCACCCCTCACCTGTCACAGCTCCTGCCTCTCTCTTCTCCAAAACCCTCTGCAGCTTTACTTCCCCAGCATGATCTTCTTAATTAGTTTAGGCTTTCACAAAAGACTGGAAGGGCAGTGGCCTGGAAGCAACATCTGAAATACCAACTTTTTTGAGACCAGAGACACCAAGGGGGATTGGCAAGAGGAAAGGACAGAGTCGGAGGCTCCAGGCTCAGTCCTTGGAGCTCTTCTCTCTATATCCATTCTCTACGTGAAATTCACCCATATGTTGACGACATTCAAATTCACATCTCCAACCTGGATCTCTCCTTTAAACACCAGACCTACTTGAGACATCCACTTGGATGTATTATAGGCATTCAACATGGCCAAAACCATCTCCTGATGCTCCCTCCTCAACTGCTCCTGCTCCTGCCCCAGTCTCCATTAACAGTAATTCTAGTTTACTGAATCTCAGATGAGTGTTTTGGAGTTATCTTTGACTCCTCTTTTTATTTCACACCCATACTTAATGTATCAGCAATCTGGATGGTCCTGCCTGCAAAGTATATCCAGAATTCTACCACTGCTTGCTCCCCGCTCTGCCTCCGCCCTGGCCTAAGCCACCATCATCTCTTGCTTGGTTTATTGCAATAGCCCCCTAACAGGTCTTCCTACTTCTTCCCTACCTGCAGTGCATTCTCAAAATGGCAGATAGAGAGGTCCTGTTAAAATGAAAGCCAGATCATGTCATTCCTCTGCTTAACACCCATCAATGACTCCTATCTCTGATAGCGGAAAAGCCCAAGTCTTCACTATGACCTACAAGGGCCTATTGGCAGATTAAAGATAGTCACAAATTATTTGACACTCTTCCCATTGAAAGGTATTTTGGTATCTCCCCTTCCATGACTTCTTTGACCACTGAAATATGGCAGAAGTGGCCAGGTGCAATTGCTCACATCTGTAATCCCAGCACTTTGGGAGGCCAAGGTTAATGGATCACGTAAGGTCAGGAGTTCGAGACAAGCCTAGCCAATGTGGTGAAACCCGATCTCTACTGGAAATACCTCAGAAGTGTCACTATGTTTGTTTCTGTGGCCAGGCCTTAGAAGACTGGCATCTTCTATTTCCTGTCTCTTGAAACACTTGCTCTTGGAACCTTGAGACACCATGTGAGAAACCCAACACTCATAGAGAGACTATATGGAGAGGCCCTGAGAGATGCAAAAGATTGAAACTGGATCCCTTCCTTTCACTAGATACAAAGACCAACTCGAGATGGACTAAAAGACTTAAATGTAAAACTTAAAACTATCAAAACTCTATAAGAAAACATAGGAAACACCAAACTGGGCATAGGCCCTGGAAAAGATTTCATGAGAAGACACCAAAAACAACTGCAACAACATCAAAAATTGATAAATGGGACCTAATTAAAGAGCTTCTGTACAGCAAAAGAAACTATCAACAGAGTAAACAGATAACATAGAGAATGGGAGAAATATATGCCAACTCTACATCCACAAAGGTATAATATCCAGAATCTATAAGGAACTTAATAAGCAAAAACAACCCCATTAAAAATATTCAAAGGACATGAACAGATACTTCTCAAAAGAAGACATACATATGGAAAAATCATATCACTAATCACTAGAGATATATATATGGAAAAAATGATCAACATCACTAATCACTAGAGAAATGCAAATCAAAAGCATAATAAAATACCATCTCACATCCATCAGAATGGCTACTATTAAAAAACTGCTGGGTACAATGACTCATACCTGTAATACCAGCACTTTGAGGATTGAAGTGGGAGGATTTCTTGAGCCCAGGAGTTCAAGACAAGACTAGGCAAACAGTACCAAAACAGAGATATAGACCAATGGAACAAAACAGAGGCACCGGAGGCAACACAACGTATCTACAACTATACGATCTTGGATAAACCTGACAAAAACAAGCAATGGGGAAAGGATTCCCTATTTAACAAACGGTGTTGGGAAAACTGGCTAGCCATGTGCAGAAAGCAGAAACTGGACCCCTTCCTGACACCTTACACTAAAATTAACTCCAGATGGATTAAAGACTTAAACATAAGACCTGGCACCATAAAAACCCTAGAAGGAAATCTAGGCAAAACTATCCAGGACATAGGAGTAGGCAAGGACTTCCTGAACAAAACACCAAAAGCATTGGCAACAAAAGCCAAAATAGACAAATGACCCCTAATCAAACTCCACAGCTTCTGCACGGCAAAAGAAACAGTCACTAGAGTGAATCGGCAACCAACAGAATGGGAAAAAATGTTTGCAGTTTACCCATCTGACAAAGGGCTGATATCCAGAATTTACAAAGAACTCAAACAGATTTACAGGAAAAAAACAAACAAGCCCATTCAAAAGTGAGCAAAGGATATGAACAGACACTTTACAAAAGAAGACATATATGAGGCCAACAATCATATGAAAAAATGCTCATCGTCACTGGTCATCAGAGAGATGCAAATCAAAACCACATTGAGATACCATCTCACGCCAGTTAGAATGGCGATCATTAAAAAATTTGGAGACAACAGATGCTGGAGAGCATGTGGAGAAAAAGGAACACTTTTACACTGTTGGTGGGAGTGTAAATTAGTTCAACCATTGTGGAAGACAGTGTGGTGATTCCTCAAGGCCTTAGAAATAGAAATTCCATTTGACCCAGCAATCCCATTACTGGGTATATACCCAAAGGACAATAAATCATTCTACTATAAGGACACATGCACATGAATGTTTATTGCAGCACTGTTTACAATAGCAAAGACCTGGAATCAACCCAAATGCCCATTGATGATAGACTGGATTGGGAAAATGTGGCACATATACACCATGGAATATTATGCAGCAATCAGAAATGATGAGTTCGTGTCGTTTGTAGGGACATGGATGAATCTGGAGAACATCATTCTCAGCAAACTGACACAAGAACAGAAAATGAAACACCGCATATTCTCACTCATAGGCAGGTGATGAAAAATGAGAACACATGGACACAGAGAGGGGAGTACTAAACACTGGGGTCTATTGGGGGGAAAAGGGGAGGGCCAGTGGGAGGGGGAGGTGGGGAGGGATAGCCTGGGGAGAAATGCCAAATGTGGGTGAAGGGGTGAAAGCAAACAAAACACACTGCCATGTGTGTACCTATGCAACTGTATTGCATGCTCTGCACATGTACCCCAAAACCTAAAATGCAATAAAAAAAAAAGACTAGGCAACACAGTGAGACCCCATCTCTACAAAAAGTTTTTAAAAACTTAGCTAGGTATGGTGGTGTGTACCTGTGGTCCCAGCTACTTGGGAGGCTGAGGTGGGAGAATCACTTGAACCTGGAAGGCAGAGATTATAGTGAGCTGCAACCATGCCATTGCATTCCAGTCTGGGTTATAGTGAGACCCTGTCTCAAAAAAAAAAAAAAATCAAAAAATAGCAGATGCTGATAATGTTGTGGAGGAAAGAAAATGTTTATACAATGGTGGGAATGTAAAGTAATTCAGCCGCTATGGAAAGCAGTTTGGAGACTTCTCTAAGAACTGAAAACAGAGCTTCCATTGGACCCAGTAATTCCATTACTGAGCATATACCCCAAAAATACAAGTTGTTCTTCTGTAAAGACACATCCATGCATATGTTCATCGCAGCATCATTCACAATGTCAAAGACATGGATTCAACCTAAATGCCCATCAACAGTGTACTGGGTAAAGAAAATGTGGCACATATACACCATGGAATACTATGCAGCCATAATAAATGGGATCCTGTCCTTTGCAGCAGCATGGATGGAGCTGGAAGCTTTATCCTAAGTGAATTTATACATAAATAGAAAGCTAAATGCCACATGTTCTCACTTATAAGTGGGAGCTGAACACTGAATACACATGGACATGAAGAAGAGACCTATAGACACTTGTTGAGTAAATAATAAAGTGGTTAAGGTATCTTGAGTTCTATGTATGTTACATATATATATCATGTGCCTTATATGTATCATGTTACTTCATTGGTTAAACAACCCTATGAGGTAGATAGTGCTATTACCATTTACATTTTACAGGAGAAGAAACTGGGGCACAGAAAGGCTAACTTCTCTCAAGTCAACAGCTAGATAGTTGCAAAACTGGGATTTGAATCCAGAGTGTCTGGCTCCAGAGCTTATCTTTGTAACACTATACTGCTTCCGAGGCAGGTCTTCTGTAAAACGTATCGGACATAAGCGTCAGGGACTCTCCCTTGGCTGAGCCCCTTCTAAGGTCCTGGAAAGGGCCCTAGTCATGTGGGGGTTGTGTGCTTTTTCTAAAGTTTGCAAGACCAGTATTTTCATCCAAGCTGGTTCAGATTGCTGTCTCTTTCCACTCCAGCTTCCCCTGTTACAATTTTCTTATGCTAGAGGGTATGGAAATGCTACAGCCATTTCTGGGATCAAGCAAAAATTGGGATAACATTTAATTTGGATTTAGTCAGTGATGAGTTTCCTATGGCTGCCATAACAAATTACCAGAAACTCGATGTCTTAAAACAACAGAAATTTCTCTCTCACAGTCCAGAATCACAGTATTGACAGGGTTAGTTCTTTCTGGAAGCTCTGAGGGAAAATCTGTTCCATGCCTCTCTCCTAGATCCTGCTGGCTGGCGGCAACGATTGGTGTTTCTTGGCTTGAAATGAATCACTCCAATCTCTGCTTCTGTCTTCACATCACCTTCTCCTCTGTGGCTCTCAAATCTCCCTCTGCCTTTATAAAGACGCCTGGCAGCCCAGTCACAGTGTGCTTGCCTGTAGTCCCAGCTACCGAAGAGGCTGAGGCAGAAGGACCGCTTGGGCCTGGGAGTTCAAGGCTGTAGTGCACTATGATCACACCTGTGAATAGCCACTGCATTCCTACATTCCAGCCTGGGCTGCATAGTGAGACCCTGTCTCTAAAAACAATTTCTTTTATAAAAAAAAAAAAAGATTTTTAAAGACAGCTGTCACTAGATTTAGTGCACACTCTAAATCCAGGATGATCATATCTCAAGATAATTAGATCCACAAAAACCTTTTACTAAGTAAGGTCAGATTTGCAGTTTCTACAGGTTAGGACACAAATATATCTTTTTGGGAGGCCACCATTCAACCTATACAGTGAGCTCTAGTTGTATATTCTGCAAATGTTCCTATGTGTAGTTAATTATTGCTTGGCATACTGGCATGAGAGTGTCTTCTAGGGATATGACCAGCACCTACTCACTTTGCCACCTGCCCCAGCATCACAAAGCAATGCAGGATAAGAGATTGTGTCACAAAATGGTTATGTCTTACAATGCCCAGCACCAGAAGGGTCTAAGTAAGGAAAGCAAACAAGGTTTGAAATGTGTGGAGCCAGACATTTATCTGTGGAAGGGTCTTTTAATTATTGGGTATGTAAACTTGTATATGGAGAACTCAGTTCTCATACACAAAAATGGAACTTCTTACTTGTCAGGAATATATTTGGTTATATCGTGAAGTCATACAGCTCATATTTGGAAGAAACTTGGTAGTGGTTTCCCAAACTAGATAACAATTTTAAACATTTATGTAACATTATCAATGAGTTTCTGAACCCAAAACATACTATGTAAAGCTATGAATAATAATTTTTAGAAAATGAAATTTGATCACCCATGCTAGAGGAAAGACTGAATTATATTTCTATTCTAAGATGCTATTACCAAACTGATATCATATGAAGACGTAATCACAGAGTATGAAGCCAAGATGTGGTTTTTAAAAAAAGTATTATAGACCAGGTACAGTGGCTCATGCCTATCATTCCAATACATTAAGAGGCCAAGGCAGGAGTATTGCATGAGCCCAGGATTTGAAGACCAGCCTGAGCAACATAGTGAGACCCTGTCTCTACAAAATTTTAAAAAATTATCCAGGTATGGTGGTACACACCTGTGGTCTTAGCTACTCAGGAGGCTCAGATAAGAGAATTGCATGAGCCCAGAAAGTCAAGGCTGCAGTGATCTGTTATAACACCACTGTACTCCAGGCTGGGCAAAAGTAAGACCCTATTTCAAAAAAAAAAAAAGCATTATAGAGGGATAGGCTAAATAGTTAACTAATAAAAGAGGGTTTTTTCCCCCTAGATTTTGTGATGTTTGCACAGCTTTATATAATTTATAATTTGTCATTATTTCTTTTCTATTTCTAAATAAATAAATGAAAAGAAATTCATTTATTTAGAATAGGCCCCACCCTGTGTTATTTAAAGGAATTCACAGTTGGAGCCTTCACAGATTACAGTAAAAGCATTATTCTGGGTAAGACTTCATTCCTCCAGGAACTGGTGCTACCCTGCCTGCTTCATGCACCAGTACTTCGGATAAACATTCTCCCAAGTCCAGAATAATTATAGCTTTATCCCCCTTTTTTTAATAGTACAAAGAACTTTTTTGCTTAACCTGTTTGAGGATAAATTGCCTCATCATTCATTTATATTTTAGAATGCATTTCCTACAACAAAAAATGTCCTAGTCCATTCAAGTTGCTAAAACAAAATATCATAAACTGGGGGGCTTATGAACAACAGAAATTTGTTTCTCAAAATTCTGAAGGCTGGGAAGTCCAAGATCAAGGTCCTGGCAGCTTTCTTGTCTGCTGAGGGCCCAATCCCTCATAGTCAGTTGTCTTCTCATCCTAACCTCATTCACCACCCGAAGGACCCACTTTCCAATATCATCATGTTGGGGGTTAGGATTTCAACCAATCAATTTGGGGGCCAGAGGAACATAAATATTCAGTGCATTGCAAGGACTTTCTCCTACCAACCACAATGTAATTAATGATCAAAACAAGAAATTAAATTGAAACATTACGCTAAACAGTCTACACATCTTATTCGAATTTTACCAGCTGTCCCACTAATGTTATTTGTTCAGTTTCTTGAACCAATCCAGGATCCCACATTGTTCTTAGCTCCTATGTCTCTTCATTGGTGATGTCAACCTCGATCATTTGATGAAGATAGTATCTGCTAGCTCCTCCCCTATAGAGTTACACTTTTGCCCTTGGCAAGATGCTAGGAAACTAAGTAAATATCCCATTACTCATAAAATTTTGAATCTGTTAATTTATTTTTATCAAATGGATTCATGGATTCCCGTTTTATTTAATGTGTTATAATCTGTAACTACCTCTATTTCAATGCTTAAATTGTCCCAGATTTGACCAATGGGAGCTCCTTCAAGCTAGTTTCTATGTCTCTTTGACAGAATAGACATTATTCTTTCAGCATTTCTTCATTTTCTGGCACAATAAAGTATTTTACGTTTATCTTGTATTATTCCTTCCTTCAGGCCTAGAACCAACCATTTCTCCAAGGAGCCCTGGCTCCTGTTAGGAAAGAAAGGCGTTTAGAAACTAAGATCTGGATACCAGATATGCTTCCTATGCAGACGCTCTTCCCTCCTCAGGCTTGGACACCCTCCACATCAAGCATCATAATGGTAATAAAATATTGTAAGCTATCCCCCTGATATTAGGACCAAGTCAGGAATGTCACGATCATTACTTCTGTTTGACATTATACTGGGATCTGAACTGAAAAGAAATAAAAGGTATAAGTACAGAAAGGAGAAAATAAAATTGTTATTAAGAGACTACATGGCCAAGCACAGTGGTTCATGACTGTAATCCCGGCACTTTGGGAGGGCGAGGTGGGAGGATCACCTGAGGTCAGGAGTTCAAGACCAGTCTGACCAACATGGTGAAGCCCCATCTCTCCTAAAAATATAAAAATGAGCTGGGTGTGGTGGCAGGTGCCTGTAATCCCAACTACTCAGGAGGCTGAAGCAGAAGAATCACTTGAACCTGGGAGGTGGAGGTTGCAGTGAACTGAGATTATGCCAGAGCTCTTCAGTCTGGGTAACAGGGTGAGGTTGTCTCAAAAAAAAAAAGAGAAAGACTATATGACTGTGCATGAAGAAAGTAAAAAGTACTGGACAGAATGAACAAATACGTTTAGCAAGGCCAGTCAATACAAGGGTCAGTATTTTAATGATTAATTGTATTCTACATATGAGCAATAACAATTGGAATTGAAATTTTTTAATTGTATTATTGATACAGCATCAAAAAAATCAAATACCCAGGAATAAATCCAGTGAAAGAATTCAAGATTCTTCACATGAAACTAGCAAACATTACCGAGACAAATTAAAGAAAATCTGAACAAGTGGGGGGAAAATACATTGATGAATTGTAAAACTCAAGAGTGTTAACTTTCCCCAAATTTATTAATAGATTAAATGCAATCCTAAAAATCTTAGTAGATGTTTCAATGGAAATTAACAGGCTGATTCTAAAATTAATATGGGGCTGGGCGCAGTGGCTCATGCCAGCACTTTGGGAAGTAATCCCAGAACTTTGGGAAGCCAAGGCAGGCGGATCACTTAAGTCCAGGAGTCCGAGACCAGCTTGGCCAACATGATAAAACCCCGTATCTACTAAAAATATAAAAATCAGCCAGGCGTGGTGGTGCATGCCTGTAATCCCAGCTACTAGGGAGGCTGAGGCACGAACTCGGGAGGTGGAGGCTGCAGTGAGCCAAGACAATGCCACTGCAGAAAGGAAAGAAGGAAGGAGGGAACAAGGGAAGGAGGGAAGGAGGGAAGGAGGGAAGGAGAGAGGGAGGGAAGGAGGGAGGGAAGGAGGGAGGGAGGGAAGAAGGAAGAAAGAAAAGAAAAGAAAAACAAATTATGTGGAAATAAGCTGGAAGCCTTATTTACTAGATATCAAGGCTTATTATAAATCTATTATAATTAAAACAATGTGATATTGGTGCAAGTATAGACAAATAAAGCAGACGAGAGAGTCTATGAACAGATCTCCAAACCTATAGGCACTTGATTTATGGTAAAAGTATGTTCCAATGATCCCATTTCCTGGGGTCATTGGAACATACTTTTACCATAAAAGAAAAAATATATATATATATATTTTCTTTTTCAATAAACAGTGCTGGAGTGGTGCACGGTGCAGGTGCGGTGCTCACACCTGTAATCCCAGCACTTTGGGAGGCTGAGGCAGGCAGATCACCTGAGGCCAGGAGTTTGAGACCAGCCTGGCCAACACGGTGAAACCCTGACTATACTAAAAATATAATACTAGCCAGGCTTAGTGGCAGGTGCCTGTAATCCCAGCTACTCAGGAGAATGGCTTGAACCCAGTAGGAGGAGATTGCAGTGAGCTGAGATTGCACCGTTGCACTCCAGCCGAGGCAACAAAAGCGAAACTCAATCTCAAAAAAAACAAAAAATAATAGTGCTAGAGTAATGGTACATTGTCATCTCCAGCTCATTCCATACATAAAAATCGATTCTATATGGATCATAGACCTAATAAAGCTTCTCAAGGATACCACAGGAAAGCATTTTCATGACCTTGGGTAGGTAAAAATTTCTTAAGCAGATCATAAATCACTAACCACCTCAAAAACAATTGATAAAGTAGGCCGGATGCTGTGGCTCACGCCTATAATCCCAACACTTTGGGAGGCTTAAGTGGGTGGATCACCTGAGATTAGGAGTTCAAGACCAGCCTGGCCAACAAGGTGAAACCCCATCTCTACTAAAAATACAAACATCAGCCGGGCGTGGTGGCGGTGCCTGTAACCCCAGGTACTCGGGAGGCTGAGGCAGAAGAATCACTTGAACCTAGGAGGCAGAGGTTGCAGCAAGCTGAGATCATGTCACTGTACTCCGGTCTAGGCGACAAGAGCAAAACTGTCTGAAAACAAAAAAAGAAACCAAACAAAAAAAATTGATAAGCCAGACTACATTAAAATGATGAACTGTTTACCAAAAACCACAATTTAGAGGGTAAAAAGGAAACCCAAATAGTGGGAGAAGAAATATTATATACAGGCCAGGCTCGGTGACTCATGCCTGTAATCTTAGCATTTTAGGTGGCCTAGGTGGGCAGATCACTTGAGGTCAGGAGCTCAAGAGCTCAACCTGGCCAACATGGTGAAGCCCCATCTCTACTAAAAATACATAAATAAGCTGGGTATGGTGGTGCATACCAGTAAGCCCAGCAACTTGGGAGGCTGAAGCAGGAGAATTGCTTGAACTTGGGAGGTAGAGGTTGCAGTGAGCAGTGAGCCAAGATCATACCACACACTCTAGCCTGGGTGACAGAGCAAGACTGTCTCAAAAAAAAAAAAAAAAGTATATATATATATAAAGAGTCTTGCTTTTTTTTTTGAGACACCAGTCCTTTAGTGTGTGTGTGTGTGTGTGTGTGTGCGCGCCAGTCCTTTAGTGTGTATATGTATGTGTGTATATATATATACACATATACGTATATATATATATATACACACACATACATATACACACTAAAGCACTGGCTCCAGAATATGAAAAGAATTCCAGAATTATGAAAAGAATAGATCCATTAGAAAAAGACAGATAACTCAATTTTTAAAATGGGTAAAGGGCTTTAACAAATGTATGGTAAATGGAGATGTCTAAATGGCCACTGAGCTTTCAAAAAGGAACTAAACCTCATTAAACATTAAGAGAAATGTAAATTAAATCCATGATGCAATTCCACTACAACTCATCAAAATGGCCAAAATGAAAAAGACAGAAAATATCAAGTGTTGGTGAGCATATGAGCAATCCTATATTCTGCTAGTGAGGGTGGGAATTGATAACAGCCCTGTGGAATAGACTCTTTTGCAGCGTCTATTAAAGCTGAATTTGTGTGTATCCCGTGATCCAGCATTTTCATTCCTAGGTTTATACCCAACAGAAATGCACACACATTCACCATAAGACACATATTAGGACGTGTTTAGCAGGGATATTTGAAATGGTCTCATACTGGAAGTTTCCCTAATGTTAATTTTATTAGTTATCTAATGCCATGTAAAAAAAAATCACTCCAAAACTTAGTGACTTCAAATGCTAAACATTATTATCTGATAGCCTCTAAATCAGCAATTTGGGAGTATCGTAGCTGAAAGGCTCTGGCTCAGGCACCTTCATGAGATTATAAAGGGGCTACAATGAAGGGATTGCAGTCATTTAAAGACCTGGCTGGGGCTGGCATACCCACAGGCAGGCCTCCTCCCGGGGACTATTGGCAGGAGGCCTCAGTTCCTACTGATAGGGGGTCTGGGGACGCAGGGCCTCACCACACAGCCCTCCCCACCGTATTCGGCTGTTCCCTTTGCTTTGATTTTCCCCTTCAGGGATTTCCATTTACTGTGTGCTGGGTCTTACTTTCCTGTAATGGTTAATATTAGGTGTCAATTTGATGAGATTGATGCCTAGATAGCTGGTAAAGTATTGTTTCTGGGTCTGTGAAGGTGTTGCCAGAGGAAACTGACATTTGAGTCAGTGGATTGGGCACCATCCAATCCACTGCCAGACGGCTAGAACAAAGCAGGAGGAAGAAGATGGGAAAAGCTGGCTTGCTGAGTCTTCTGGCTTTCATCTTTCTCCCATGCTGGATGCTTCTGTTCATTCCTCTTGCCCTTGGACAACAGACTCCAGGTTCTTTGGCTTTTAAATTCTTGGACTTACACCAATGGTTTGCTGGGGGCTCTAGGGCCTTTGGCCACAGACTGAAGGCTGTACTGTCAGCTTCCCTGCTTTGAGGGTTTTGGACTCTGACTGAGCCACTACTGGCTTCTTTCCCCCACAGCTTGCAAAGGCCTATCGCCTTTGCCTTCTGATGGTGTGTGCCAATTCTCCCTAATAAACTCCTATTCATATATACATATGTCCTGTTAGTTCTGCCCCTCTGGAGAAACCTAATACATTGTCTATCTTCAATATTTGTAATTTTCTCTCTTTGAATTTTTTCATCGAAAATTTCAATTTTTCATAATTTCCTCCTTTTCATCTTCTATTTCCTTTTTGAAATTACTTTTTCTTTTTTCTTTTTTTTCTGAGAGGTAGTCTCACTCTGTCATTCAAGCTGGAGTGCAAGTGGTGCAACCTCGACTCACTGCAACCTCTGCCTCCTGGGTTCCAGTGATTCTCCTGCCTCAGCCTCCCAAGTAGCTGGGACTACGGCACGCACCACCACATCTAGCTAACTTTTGTATTTTTAGTAGAGACAGGGTTTCACCATGTTGACCAGGATGTTCTTGATCTCTTGACCTTGTGATCTGCCCGCCTTGGACTACAAAAGTGCTGGGATTACAGGCGAGCCACCACACCTGGCCTACTTTTTCTTTCATTTCTAAATTTTTTCTGATTCCTGTCAAATCACATTTCAGAGTTTTTCTAACTAATTTATGGTTATTCCATGTCTTACATTATTCTTAATGTCTTTTATCTTATTTTTAAATAGTTATGGTTGCAAGGTTTTGTTTTGTTTTTCCTTTGAGACTGGGTCTTGCCCTATTGCCCAGGCTGGAGTGCAGGTGTGCCGTCATAACTCACTGAAGCCTTGATCTCTTGGGCTCAAGCAATCCTACCTCAGACTCCCAGGTAGCTAGGACCACAGGGACATGCCACCATGCCTCCTTTTTTCAAATGTTTTACAGAAATGGGATCTTGCTGTGTTGCCCAGGGTGGTCTTGAACTGCTGACCCACCTTGACCACCCACCTTGACCTCCCAACGTGCTGGGATTACAGGCATGAGCCACCATGCCCGGCCAATGTAGGGATTTAGAGTAACACATGATACCACTGCTGCAGCTCTATTCACAGAATCCTAATATTCTAGACAGTCTTGTAAATGGTGGTTGTGTTCATTTGGTGAAATTTCACTGAGCTGTGCCCTTCATGTGTGTGCACTTTGCTCTACAGATATTATAAATTAATAGGAAGTTAACTCCCATGTTAGTCAGGATTCTCCAGAAACACAGAACTGATGGTGTGTGTGTGTGTGTGTGTGTGTGTGTGTGTGTGTGATATTTAGAGACAGAGATGTATTTTAAGGTATTGGCTCATGTAATTATAGAGGCTGGCAAGTCCACAATCTCCAGAGTAGACCGTCAGCCTAGAGACCCATGAAAGAGCCAGTGTTGGAGTTTGTCTAAAGGCTGTCTCAAAATTAGTCATTATACACCCCAAAAAAAGAACCTTAATTTGTGTTTATAAATGAGACTTAGAGATGCTTAGTAACTTGCTCAAAGTCACTCAGCTAAAAGGTAGTGAACCCAAGAGCAGAACTTGGCTCTCCCTGCGGCCAGAGTTTGTGCTGTTCCCACTATATGAGGGAAAAGATGTTCTAATGGGGTCCAGTCCCATCTTCATGGCAACTTTGCAGGTAGCTTCAAGACACCATCCTCCTCAGTGGGTGGCTGCGATGGCTCCAGGTGGGGCCTACTGTTTTTACCCTCCACACAGCAGCTAGAAGTGTTTCAATTTGTCACATGTGCTCTGAGTTTAATAGTCTAGGGCTGCAATGACTGTTCCATGGTGAGGGGATCCAGTTCCGTTTTGTTGCCTTGCCATCCTCAACATATGGCTTCCATCTCCTGGTCTAGGATGGCTCCTCCAGCCCCTGCCTTCATGTCTGCATTAGAGACAGTGAGAGAACAGGAGGAAATGGAAGCCTGCACTTACTTCTCACAGCCCATCGGCCAGAGCAACTGGCCAGGTTGTTTTGGTCACATGGAAAAGCTTAGGCAAAGGAGCCTGGGAAGTGATTTTTAATTGGATAGCCGCATGCTGATCCTAAGCTTAGAGGTTCCAATATGAAAGATATAAAGAGGGGGAATGAATATTGGGAGACAACTGACACTCTACCACAAATGATTTTCTGTTGCTTTTACAAAAATACTTTCTTTTTTTCTGAGACAGTTTCACTCTTGTGGCCCAGGATGGAGTGTAATGGTAAGATCTCAGCTCACTACAACCTCTGCCTCCGGGGTTCAAGCGATTCTCCTGCTGCAGCCTCCCAAAGTAGCTGGAATTACAGGTGCCTGCCACCATACCAAGCTAATTTTTTTGTATTTCAAGTTGAGATGGGGTTTCACCATGTTGGCCACACTGGTCTTGAACTCTTGACCTCAGGTGATCCAGCTGCTTTGGCCTCCCAAAGTGCTGGGATTACAGGTGTGGGCCACCGCGCTCAGCACAAAAATACTTTCTATCTCCTCTATGGCTTTGCCTTGCCTGGCCCCTGCTTGCTGCGCCAGCCTCCCCTCCTAGCACACTCCCCCCACTATCTGCCCTCCAACCACATGGCAACCTTTCAGTTCCTTGAGGGCTCCATGCTTCCTCCCACCCCAGGACCTTTACATGAAACATTCCTTCTGCCTGGAATGCTATTCTCCTGTATCACCTAGTTAACTCCTACTCATTCTTCAGGTGTCAGCTCAGCTGTCATTTTCTCAGGCAGGGCTTCTCTGATTCCATTCTAATGTAAGTACTTCTTTTAGCCACTCTGATCTGCCACGAATCTTTCCTCTATAACATTCAGTTATAATTGTACACTTATTTAATAATAATTTAATAATTATCTTTCTCTAGACAGTAAGTCAATAAAGTAGGATCATCTCGGTTTTGCTCACTGCTGTATCCCTAGCACCTAGCAGAGTGAAGGGGACAAATATTTTTTTTTTTTTGAATGAATGGACAGACTCCTTAAAATTGTCTGAATGATACTGACAGGAAAATTTCATCTATGTGGACAAGGTCTCAGACCACATGGCTTGACCCAGAGATCTCAGCTTTTTAGTCACTATAGTGAGTCTGGGCTATCTGGGGCCTCCTGTGGACAGAGTGAGTTGTTCAAGTTCCACCTCATAAGGCTTGGTCTAACACTCTTTGCAATGCACTCTTGCTCCCTGCCTGCAAATAGATTCCACCAGGCTTTTAGTTTGTTGCTTTGATGAGGTTGTATTTTTTAAAAAAAGAAGCCAGGCAGGTTGAATCCTGCCAAATTGCATCTCTACACAGAAAACCCCACGGCTGAATGCCTGGCTGCTCTGTGGTTCAGAGCTTGGAATTTCTAGAGAGGAAAACATTGAGATTGCCCACTAGTTAATATGGGGTACACTGGGGAAGAATTTCTGTAAGTCAAAGATTTAACTCCGGCTTCTGCATTATTCTAGGTCCAAATACAAAGTCCTCCCCTGACCTTAGAATTCTGTGTCTGGATGCTTTTGGTTACAAAACCAGAAAACTCCTTCTCAACTGGCTTAAACAGTGAGTTTCTTATCACACATCACAGGAGGCTGGAGGTAGGGCAACCCAGGGCCTTTTAATTGGGCTGTTTGCATACTCCATGGAGGACCTGAATTCTTTCCATCCCTGTTTTCTATGTGTGGTTCTGCCCTTGCTTTTTTCATTTGACAATATATCCTTAAAATCATTTCCAACATGACAGAAAGAGCTGCCCTATTGTTTTCTTTTTATATTGAATAGTCTTCCATTTTAAAGAGATATCATAATTTATTTAACCAATTCCCTCATTGTGAGCACTTGTTTCCAATCCTTTGCTCTTACAGTGATGTGATGAATACTTGCACATGTTATTTTACATGTGACTGAGTGCATCCAAGGATAAATTCCTAGAAGTGAATTTGCTGGGTCATGAGCTATATGCCTTTGTAATTTTGGTAGATGTTGCCAATCTGTCCTCCACAGAGATTGTATCAATCTACTCCCCTCCCCAAATGTGTACAAGAGCACTTCAAGTCTTTATTTATTTATTTATTTATTTTTGAGACAGAGTCTCACTCTGTCACCAGGCTGGAGTGCAGTGATGTAATCTCAGCTCACTACAACCTCCGCCTCCCAGGTTCAAGCAATTCTTCTGCCTCAGCCTCCCAAGTAGCTGGGACTACAGGCATGCACCACCACACCCAGCTAATTTTTTGTATTTTTAGTAGAGATGAGGTTTCACCATGTTAGCCAGGATGGTCTTGATCTCTTGACCTCGTGATCTGCCCACCTCGGCCTCCCAAAGTGCTGGGATTAGAGGCATGAGCCGCTGTGCTTGGCCAAGTCTTTTTGACACCTTAACTTAAACATAGACTAGAAAAAAAATAATGGAAGGTGACTGGGCGATTTCTGCATAGAAAAACAAAGATGGGTTATTTATCAACTCAGTCATTTTAACTGGCACCAACAGAAGCCTCAGTGCTTTTTAAATAAATTATTAATCTCTGTGGACTCCCCTGCTATCACAGTTGTCTAACGGTACCAGGCTGTCCATGCACAGTCCATCGTTCAGAACTCAGTATCTGCAATTTAATCATTCTGTCCACAAACAACTCCTCTCTAGAGGTCTTTTCTCCCCATCTCCACCCGGCAATCTCCTAGTCCTCCCTCAGGCCTCGCTGAAATGCCCCTCCTCCATTAAACATTATCTGACACGCCCAGGCAGAATTAGTCACTTCTTATTGCTCCCATGGAATTTTGTTCACACCTCAATCATGGCACGAATCACTTGTAATGTAATTATCCACTTACCTGTTCGTCTCCCACACTGAATGCCTTAAGGATAGAAACTTCATCTTCATCTTTGGACCAGCGCTTCTGCGCATGGTGCTTGGCACATAAACACTTCACCACTAAAGTTTGCTGGAATGAAATCAGGTAAGGTCGCAGTTTTGTGGTGCCTGGTGGCAAAATCAAACAATATTGTTTTCCTTTTCTGGTGGTGTTGATGAGAAGGTCAAAAATTTGGCACTTCTGAATATTTCTTTATATCTTTCATTGTTTCTGGACTTCTCCTGGAATCTGTCCTATTCTGTGCTGTGTTCTCAGTGCCTACAACAGTGCCTGGGAAACAACAGGCATTTCATAAATGTTGAATGAATGGATATCTTTGATCAGAGGAAGCTTCCAAATGCAGCTGGATTTTTTTTTTTTTTTTTTTTTTGGCCTGCTTCATGTGCCCAAAGGATATTTCCAAGTCTTTCCAAAGCCTCAAGCATGGACCCTCATTTGCCCATTCTGAGTATTTGGGTTTTATTTCACCTCAAGTTAATGCATGTAAAAGTGCTTACTTAGAACAGTGCCAGCTACTTAGTAAGCATTCAGTAAATGCTGACTATTGTTTTTTATTATTATTCCCACTAGTCCAAACATGCTCCCATCAGTCCACCCCCTGTGCTGGGCTCTTCATTTCTTTCTGCACCAGATAATGTGGACTCAATCCCTGGAAAACATCCACGTAAGCATCCAGGTTTCAATTTATCAACTGTGTAACCTTGGGCCAGTTATTTCATCTCTTGGAGGCTCAGCTTCTTCATTTGGAAAATAGGCATCTTAAAAGCTACCTCTAGATAGATATTAGATAGACGTTGCTATGAGGATTAAATGAACCAATCCATGGACACTGCTTGCCATCATGCAGGGCTCAGAGTCAGCATTTAGCTAGCATCGTGATCATAATCATCCTCATCATCATCATCATCATCATCATTGCAGACGCCAAAAACCTTTCATCTCTTCTTTCTGGGAGGCTCATTCCCACAGCTCTTCTGGCTGATGGTAAATCTTTAGCTGGTTCTGAAGTTTGGGGCATCACCAAGATGCTTGCGTTGACTAGGTGATATGGTTTGGCTCTGCATCCCCACCCAAATCTCATCTCGAATTGTAATCCCCACATTTCAGGGGAGGAGTCTGGTGGGAGGTGATTGAATCATGGGTGTGGACTCCCCCCTGGCTGTTCTTGACAGTGAGTGAATTCTCACAAGCTCTGGTTGTTTGAAAACGTATAGCACTTCCCCCTTCACTCTTTCTTTCTCCTGCTCTGTCATGGTAAGACATGCTTGCTTCCCCTTTGCCTTCTGCCATGATTGTAAGTTTCCTGAGGCCTTCCAGCCATGCTTCCTGTTTAGCCTGCTAAACTTTGAGTGAATTAAACCTCTTTTCTGCACAAACTACTCATTCTCAGGCAGCTCTTTATAGCAGTATAAAAACAGAATATACAGAAAATTATTTATAATAGCTATAAAGATACCTGAAAATGTAGAAGCAACTTTGGAACTGGGCAACAGGCAGAGGCTGGAACAGTTGGAAAGCTCAGAAGAAGATAAAAAGATGTGGGAAAGTTGAGAACTTCCTAAAGACTTGTTGCATTGTTTTGACCAAAATGTTGATAGTGATATGGACAATGAAGTCCAGGCTGAAGTGGTCTTAGATGGGGATGAGGAACTTATTGGAAACTAGAATAAAGGTCACTCTTGCTATGTTTCAGCAAAGAGACTGGTGGCATTTTTCCCCTACCCTAGAGATCTATGGAACTTTGAATTTGAGGGAGATGATTGAGGATATCTGCTGGAAGAAATTTCTAAGTAGCAAAACATTCAAGAGGTAACCTGGCTGTTTCTAAAAGTGTATGCTCATATGCAGGAACAAAGAGATGATTTGAAACTGGAACTTCTATTTAAAAGCAAAGCAGAGGATACCAGTTTGGAAAATGTGCAGCCTGGCCATGTGGTAGAAAAGAAAAATCCATTTTCTGGGGAGAAATTCAAGACTGCTGCAGAAGTTTACATAAGTAAAGAAGAGTTAAATAGCCAAGACAATGGAAAAAATGTCTCCTGGGCATTTCAGAGACCTCTGAGGCAGCCCCTCCCATCACAGGCCCAGAGCCCTAGAAGAAAAAAATGGTTACATGGCCCAGGCCCAGGACCCAGGACCCAGCTGCTCTGTGCAGCCTTGGGACATGGCACCCTGAATCCCAGCCCTCCAGCTCCAGCCATGGCTAAAAGGGGCTAAGGTTACAGCTCAGGCCATTACTTCAGAGGTTGTAAGCCCCAAGCTTTCACGGCTTCCACGTGATGTTGGGCCTGCAGGAGTGCAGAAAGCAAGAGTTGAGGTTTTGAAACCTCCGCCTACATTTCAGAGGATGTACGGAAATGCCTGGATGTCCAGGCAGAAGTCAGCTGCAGGGGCAGAGCCCTCATGGGGAACCTCTACTAGGACAGTGCAGAGGGGAAATGTGGGATTGGAGCCCCAACACAGACTCCCCACTGGGGCACTGCCTAGTGGAACCATGAGAGGAGGGCTAGCATCCTCCAGACCCCAGAACAGTACATTCACTGACAGCTTGCACCATGTGCCCAGAAAAGCCACAGCCACTCAGTGCTAGCCTGTGAAAGCAGCTGTGGGGGCTATACCCTGCAGAACCACAGAGTCAAAGCTTCCCAAGGCCTTGGGAACCCACCTCTTGCATTAGCATGCCCTGGATGTGAGACATGGAGTCAAAGGAGATTATTTTGGAGCTTTGGGATTTAATGACTGCCTTGCTGAGTTTCGAACTTGCATAAGACCTGTAGTCCCTTGGTTTTGGCCAATTTCTCCCTTTCACAATGGGAGCATTTATCCAATGCCTGTACTCCCATTGTATCTTGAAAGTTATTAACTTGTTTTTTATTTGACAGACTCATAGGTGGAAGGGGCCTGCCTTGTCTCAGATGAGACTTTGGATGTAGACTTTTGAGTTAACTCTGGAATGAATTAAGACTTTGGGGACTGTTGGGAAGGCATGATTGTCTTTAAAATGTGAGGACATGATATTTCAGAGGGGCCAGGGGTAGAATAATATGGTCTGGCTCTCTGTCCTCACTCAAATCTCATGTGGAATTGTAATCCCCACAAGTCAGGGGAGGGGCCTGGTGGGAGGTGACTGAATCATGGGGTGGACTTCCCCCTTGCTGTTCTTGGAAGAGTTAGTGAGTTCTCATAATTTCTGGTTGTCTGAAAGTGTGTGGCACTTCCCCCTTCACTCTTGCTCTCTCCTGCCCCACCATGATAAGACATGTTTGCTTCCCCTAACTCTTCCGCCACAATTGTAAGTTACCTGAGGCCTCCCAGCCATGCTTCCTGTTAAGCCGAACTGTGAGTAAATTAAATCTCTTTTCTTGATAAATTGCCAAGTCTCATGTAGTCCTTTATAGCAGTGTTAAAATGTACTAATATACCGAAGTTCCTGTTCGTCCCCCCTTACCCTCCTAGATGGATTATTTAAAGATATTTATTTCATTCACACAAAAATGTTTTGTTCTGACCCATTCCTGAGAGCTGAGAGTAGGCTGTAGGGACTCTGAATAAGAAAATAAGAGCAGCCTACTCTCCCTGACCATATTCCTGCCCAATGGCCAGTATTTGAGTAGCACTTCACCCTGTCACCAATTTTTTGAGTCCTATTTCCCACAGACTCTGTGTTAGTCCATTCTTGTTCTACTATAAAGCAGTACCTGAGATAAAGTAATTTATAAAGAAAAAAGCTTTGTTTTGGCTCAGGTTTCTGCAGGCTGTACAGGAAGTGTGGTGCCAGGATCTGCTTCTTGTGAGGGCCTTGGGAAGCTTTCAATCATGGCACAAAATGAAGGTCAACCAGCATATCACATGGTGATAGAGGGAGAAAAAGAGAGAAGACGGAGGTCTCAGATTCTTTTAAACAACCAGATCTCATGTGAACTAACTGGGAGAGAACATCAAGGAATGGTGCTAAGTCATTCGTAAAAGATCCACCCCATGATCCAGTCACCTCCCACCAGGCCCCACTTCTAACATTGAAGGTTACATTTCAACATGAGATTTGAAGAGGACAAACACCCAAAACATAACAGACTCACTTGTGACTTTGCCCTGTAAACTTTCAAGGAAAATAAGTCACTTCTGACCCAGACACTCTGTCATCTTACCTTCTCCTGGGTCTTCATCTAAAGTAGCAAGTGTAAATTCCTTACTGATCCAGGGGTGTGTGTGTGTGTGTGTGTGTGTGTATACAAAATTCACTATATAGAGAGTAAATTCCTATGTATATAAATATATATACAGTATAGGAATTCAGAGGTGTTAGAAATTATGAAGAGGACTATAACATAACTACCACACAAGGCAGGTGGAAGTGGTCTCTGTGGAGAAGGAAGAATTGGGGAAGAGCCCACAGGGAACACAAGAGACCATCGTTATATTTGTTTCTCACCCTGAGTAGTGGGTACATAAGTGTTCACTGGACTATTAATCTTAAAATTGTACATATACATTTAACACATTGAAGTGTGCATGATGCATTTCATAATTTTTTTAAATAAAATACTGTGAAAGAGAAGGGAAGGAAGGAAAGGAAAGCAAATGAAAGGAAAAGAAAGGAAGGAAGAAAGGGGGAGGGAGGATGGGTGGAAGAAAGAAAACTGGATTTGTTAATAGGAAAGAATATATCAATGTCAAATCCCATTTTGGGCTAGTATTATTCAGCAACCAGAGGATAATCTCAACAGTTACTCAATGGATCAGCTTATTTAATTTATGTCTGTACAGTTAATTCATACTCAAAAATCAAACATTCTAAGCTTCTTTCTATGAATATCTTCCAGACCAAGATTATTCATCTCATGGTGAGATGAATTTCCTGGGGAATGTTAGTCCTCTTGTAAGTGCTTCTGCAGCAAAGGTGAAACAACCATACATCAAACCAAAATACAAATCAGTTCTTTAGTTTTCACTAACCAAAATTAACTCTGTTTAAATAAATCAACTCTTATCACCTTCAGGACTCATATCTCAAGTAACAGACATTCTTACTGACCAGTAACACAAAATATCACACTCTCAGCACTAAGATCCTCAGTTTTGAATTCTTTCAACCATTTCTGCCAAAAGCCTTGCTTTTGTGATTACAGGAATGTGCCAGGTGTGGTGGCACATTCCTGTAATCTCAGCTACTCAGAAGGCTGAGGATAGCAGATCACTTGTGCCCAGGAGTTTAAGGCCAGCCTGGCAACATAGCAAGACTCTGTTTAAAAAACCAAATACATGACGACAATAACATGAAAGCCAGGAGAATGTGAAATCAAATTAAAGTGTCATAAGGTCCCTAGAATTATTTAGAAAGGGTGAAAGTACTAATTTCAAGGGTGACTTTATTAAGTCAAGGATGCATGCAGATCTAAGGTAATAAAATAATAATAATAGCAAACATGTGACTACTAATTTATAGAGAAGGAAAATGAAATAATTAGAAAAATACTGATCCAAAAAAAGGCAAGAAAGAGGTTAAAAAAATGTGAAAAATGGAAAAAATAGTAAAATGGCATACTTTAAACCTTAGTGTATCAGTAATTACCAGAATATAAATCAACTAAAGGTAAAGATTTTCAGACTGGACAAGAAACAACTATATACTGTTTATAAAAGACACACCTCAAACATAAGGACGCATAAAGGTTGAAAATAAAGGGGTTTTTGGCTGGGTGCAGTGGCTCACACCTGTAATCCTAGCACTTTGCGGGGCTGAGGTGGGCAGATCACCTGAGGTTAAGAGTTCAAGACCAGCCTAGCCAACATGGCGAAACTCTGTCTCTACTAAGAATACAAAAATTAGCCAGGTGTGGTGGCGCACACTGTAATCCCAGCTACTTGGGAGGCTGAGGCAGAAGAATTGTTTGAACCTGGGAGGTGGAGGTTACAGTGAGCTGAGATCATGCCACTGCACTTCAGCCTGGGCAACAGAGTGAGACTCCATCTCAAAACAAAAAAAAGGAAAAGAAAGAAAGAGTTTTGTTTTTTTTTGTTTTTTTTGAGACAGAGTCTTGCTCTGTCACCAGGCTGGAGTGCAATGGTGCAATCTTGGCTCACTGCAACCTCCGCCTCCTGGGTTCAAGCGATTCTTCCGCCTCAGCCTCCTGAGTAGCTGGGACCACAGGCACGTGCCACCATGCCCGGCTATTTTTTGTGTTTTTAGTAGAGACGGGGTTTCACCATGTTGGCCAGGATGGTCTCGATCTCTTGACCTAGTGATCCACCCACCTCGGCTTCCCAAAGTGCTGGGATTACAGGCGTGAGCCACTGCGCCCAGCCTGAAAGGGATTTTTTTTTTAAAAAAGAAAAAATAATAAGTCATGAAAACACCAAAAGGAAGCTTGTATATCTCTACTGGTAGCATAAACATGAGGAAAAAAGTACGCTAGAGATAATGAGAGACATTTCATAATAATGAAAGAGAAATTTTAATAGGAAAATATAAAATCCTAACTACATATGCAATTAAAAATAGCCTCAGAACATAAAGTAATAACTGACAGATCTAAAAGGAGAAAGAGAAAAATCCATAATAATAGTTGGAGATTTTTTTTAACGCATTGCTCTGAATAACTGGTAGAAGAAGTAGACAAGAAATCATCATTAGGATATAGGAGATTTTGAATAATGTGATTAACAAAACTGATCTAGATGACATATAATTATCATACCCAATAGCTTCAGAATGCCATCTTTTCCAATATACATTGAACAATTACCAAAATACCCCCACAGATTTTTTTTCTTTTCCTTGTAAGCATTTTCAATGAACTCACAATTTTGCTATGCCATTTCTCTGTTATCATTTAGTTTTAAACACTGTCTTATTTCCACTGTGATTTCTTTGGCCCATGAGAACACTTTTAGCAGGTTTTTTGCTTAATTTCCAAATACTTAGTAATCTCATTGTTTTCTGTTATTGATTTCTAGCTTAATTTGTCAGAGATTTCAATCTTGTTAAATTTGCTGAGATTTCCTTTATAGCCCAGCTTAAAACAAAACTCAAAAGGACCAAACCATTTCCAAGTAACTGCATCCCAGAACGAAGTTCAAACATAATAAAAGGAATACAAAGTAATCTAGTACCCAAAAAGTAAAATTCACACCTGATCAAAGATCACCTGGCTTACAAAGACGCAGAAAAATATCACCTATAAAGAGGAGAAAAATCAATCAATCAACCCAGAACTGACAGAGGTGTTAGGATTATGAGACAAAGACAGTAACACAATTGTTACAACTGTATTCTATAGGTTGAAAGGTTAAGTAGACACATAGAAGGTATATAAAATTAAAGACCTAAATTGATCATCCAGAGATGAAAGCCACAGTGTGTAAGATGAATTATACACTGAAAGAAATTAGCAGAAGATTAGATGTTAAAGAAGAAAAGATTAGTGAACTTGAATACATAGACTATGATAAATTCAAGATGTGTGCAATAAACCATACAGCCACCACTAAAATAATGAAATTAAGAGTTAAAAGCCATGTGTGGTGGCTCACACCTATAATCCCAGCACTTTGGAGGGATCACTGGAGGCCAAGCATTCAAGATCTGCCTGGGCAACAGAGTGAGATCCTGCCTCTAAAGTAATTTAAAAATTAGCCATGTGTGGTAGTGCATACTTGTAATCCCAGCTACTGGGGAGGTTGAGGTGGAAGGATTGCTTGAGCCCAGGAGCTGGAGGCTGCAGTGAATGTGATCACGCCACTGTACTCCAGTCTGGGCAACAGAGCAAGACCCTGCACAAAAAAAAAAAAAAAATTTTAGCAAAAAGCCAATTAAGAAAATAAAGCAGAATTTTTAAAAAATACAAAAATAGTCAACCCAAAAGCAGGTGGAAAAGGAAAGAATGGATAGGACAAATAGAAAACAAACAGCAAGGTGCTGACAAACTTAATCATGTTTTTAAAATCGCATTAATGTAATTTCATTGATTAAATGGCATAGATTGTCACTTTGTTTTTTTTTTTTTGAGATGGAGTCTCACCAGGCTGGAGTGCAGTGGCATGATCTTGGCTCACTGAAACCTCCACCTCCCAGGTTCAAGTGATTTTCCTGCCTCAGCCTCCCAAGTAGCTGGGACTACAGGCACTCACAACCATGCCTGGCTAATTTTTGCATTTTTGTTAGAGAGGGGTTTTCACCATGTTGGCCAGGATGGTCTCGATCTCCTGGCCTCATGAACACCTGCCTCGGCCTCCCAAAGTTCTGGGATTATAGGCATGAGCCACCATGTGCCTCACCCTCTCAAGTAGCTGTGATTACAGGCATGTGCCACCATATCTGGCTAAATTTTGTATGTTAGTAGAGACAGGATTTCACCATGTTGGCCATTCTGGTCTCAAACTCCTGACCTCAAGTGATCCACCTGCTTCAGTCTCCCAAACTGTCAAGATTACAGGTGTGAGCCACCGCACCCGACTAAATTCAACAGAAAAATTTAAAAAGCCATAGAGAAAACCAATGAAACTAAGACTTATTTCTTTGAGAAATATCAATGAAATTGATAAACTTCTAGCCAGACCGATCAGGAAAAAAAGAGGGAAGACAC